TTAAACCGACTGGAGCATAGCTTCCTGACAGGGGGTCTAGGTTCACTACAGGAGGCTCTATTTCAAAACAAGACAAAAAAGCTAGGTAGAGTGATACATGACTATAATCCTGAGAAATTCTCAGGAAAGCTGAGGCAGGAGGAATGTTAAGTGTTCCAAGCCAGCTGGGCTACAGAATGAGACCCTGTCTTTAAGTAAATAAATCAGACAACAGCTATGAATAGCAATAGTTGCTGATATTTTCTCCAAGAACTCAAAAAGGTTAAGTTAGCACCATGTGGTGGAGCTGCTTACCTGTGAGACCAGCTCTTAGGGAACTAGAAAGTACAAAGCTAGCCTGGGCTACACTGCAAGACCCCATCTTAACAAACAAACAAACAAACAAAAACTTAGGCCCAGGCTTGGTGGTGCACACCTTTAATCCCAGCACTCAGGAGGCAGAGGTGCTCTGTGACTCGAAGGTTAGCAAGGGCTACACATGGAGACAAGACTCTGTCTCACAAAAAAAAGCAAAAAAAGATATATAATTGCCACTTTTCTCATTGGTGTAGATAACACTATCATAACTACTATGATATTTGCTATCCAGTCAGGAGACTCATGGAAAAATGAAAACATCTCAGAGAGTAATATCTTTTCTTAAAGGGGAAGTCTACACCACTTTGCCTATAGTTGTGAGAACCATGGAGACAAAATGTAGCCAAAAGTGCAGAGATAAACCAAAATCCGCATTTCATAGTCCAGGGTTTTCTTCAAGAAACAGACTGGAGCCAGTATTAAAGTCTCCAGTAAACAGGATGCAATTGCATATACCTGTGATCCCACCCTCAGGAGATGGACACGAGGATTCTGGCCTACTGGCACCAGCAGCCTTTGAGAGTAGGGCGACAATCAGTGTTGCTGTGGGTAGTCATTTCCAGAAGGTGTGGGAGGATTCAGAAGGGGGAGTGGTGGGAGCAGGGACAGAGTAATCGAAGAAGAGTTGCAACAGGGACAAAATCCTGGTACTGAGACAACAGCCTGGAGTCTTACAGACTGCACAAATCCAAGCTCAAGGCTGTGCCACTACTGCAAAACACTCACAACCTCTCCTCAGGGTCCCAATAAGTGACCTTGAGATACATGCTGGCATCCTTCCCTCTCACCTCCATAGAAACTCTGCCCTAATAACTGCCAGTTTCTTATTACATCTATCTCTCCTCGCCCCCAGAACAAAAGATGCTGTATCATCTTTCCTTGAAAAGAGCAAGCCCCTCTGTGGTGGTTTGAATATCTATGGCCCCTACAGATTCATGTGTTTGAACACTTGGCCCATGGGGAATGGCACTATTAGGAGGTGTGGCCTTGTTGGAGGAAGTGTATCACTGTGGTGTCAGGCTTTGAGGGCTCCTATGCTCAAGCTCTGCCCAGTGTGGATTTCCAGTCTCCTCCTGGCTGCCTTCAGATCACAATGTAGAACTCTCAGCTCTATCTCCAGCACCATGCTGGTCTATATGTTGCATGCTTCCTGCCATGATGACGATAGACTAAACCTTTGAAACTATAAGCCAGCCCCAATTAAGTGTTCTCCTTTATACGAGTTGCCTTGGTCATGGAGTCTCTTCACAGCAATAGAACCCTAAGACACCCTCCCTCGACCCACACAATCTTCACTTATCAGTCAATGCCTGGACTCTTCTTTGCAAAAAACAACTTACGGGAAGATGTGCTGCCCTTCCTGGAGAGGTGTTTCTTACCCTCGTCATCTGCCATGGGTGGCAGTCCCCTGTCCTTGAGGTCCCTGTGACTACACATCTTCTCACCTTCTCAGTCACTCCTCTTAAGTTTGCCTTTCCCAAGCTCAGCCATTGCCCGCCCCCAGGCTTAGAGCATGGTTCTGCTTAGTTTCTGAACACAAACTAGAGTAGCCTGGGAAGTGGGAGCCTCAACTGAAGACTGGCCTCCAGTGGACATGTCTATGGGAATTGTCTTGATTGATGATTGACGTGGGAGGGCCCAGCCGACTGTGGACCACAGTATCCTACACATGCAAGCATAAGAAAGCGGGCTAGCGCCGGGCAGTGGTGGTGCACGCCTTTAATCCTAGCACTTGGGAGGCAGAGGCAGGTGGATTTCTGGGTTCGAGGCCAGCCTGGTCTACAGAGTGAGTTCCAGGACAGCCAGGGCTACACAGAGAAACCCTGTCTCGAACAAAAAAAAAAAAAAAGAAAGCGGGCTAGCAAGCCAGAGTGAGCCAATAAGCAGCCTTCCTCCAGGGCTTCTGCTTCAGTTCCTGCTCTGACTTCCTTCACAGATGAACTGTGACAGGAAGTATAAGCTGAAATAAGCCCTTGTTTTCCCTAGTTTCCTTCACTACGTCTTTGCTCATGATGCTCATGACAACAGAAAGCAAACCAGGACAGACTTTCATGGCCCACACTTGTCTTCGATGATGTCATCTACAACCTGCGACATCACACAGTTATCCTCAGATGGGTCTCTGCAAGCCTCTCTCCCACTCAACCCCAAGCTTCAGATTCATATATCTCTATCAGTGGCTCTCAACCTTCCTAATGCGGCAGCCCTTTAATACAGTTCCTCACGTTGTGGTGACCCCAACCACAAAATTGTCTTTCCTGCTACTTCATAACTGTAAATTTGCTGTTATGAATCATAATGTGAATATGTGTTTTCTGATGATCCTAGTTGACCCCTGAAAAAGGATCATTTGTGAATGACAGATTAAGAATTGCCGATCTATATGATATATTCATATTAATATGTAACAGAACAAAATAAGATTTTTTTTTTTTTTTGGTTCTTCGAGACAGGGTCTCTCTGTGTAGCCCTGGCTCTCCTGGAACTCACTCTGTAGACCAGGCTGGCCTCGAACTCAGAAATCCGCCTGCCTCTGCCTCCCAAGTGCTGGGATTAAAGTGCGTCACCACAGCCCGGCAAAATAAGATTTTTTTAAACACCTATTCAAGCCTGTTTCTTCCCCAGTCTTCTCATCTCAAAGATATGGGCACTACCCACTCACTTAGGAACTCCCATCTCTAGGAGTCATGTGTGTGTGTGTGTGTGTGTGTATGTGTGTCTGTCTGTCTGTCTGTCTGTGCATGCATGCAGTATGTGTACTTGTGTGTACAAGTGCACACGAATATGTGTGCCTGTAAATATAAGTGCCAGAAGCCAGCCTAACCTCACATGTTGTTTCTCAAATACCCACTTACTTTCTGAAGCAGTTTCTTGCTGGGACCTGGGGCTTGCAGATTAGGCTAGGATGACAGGGCAGCAAGCCCCAGATTCTCCTGTCTCTACCTCCCCAGTGCTAGGATTACAAGGGCACGCTGTTACTACACCTGGGTTTTTATGAGATCTAATGTGAGTCCTCAAGCTTGCACGGCAAGCACTTGATGAACTGGGCATCTCCCCAGTCTCCTAGGAGTCATCTTTGACTGTTCTTTCTCTCAGGCAGCATCCAAAGCACAGCCTGAATCTGACTACTGTTCTCCATCTCTGTGCTTCACCCTCTACTAATATCTGCTCTGGACCACAGCCACAGTCTCCTGCTGCTTTCCTGCCTCCCTGGCACAGCTGTCCACCCAAACCCCATTCTCCCGAAAATGCAAAGCATACCAAGCCACTTTAAAACGTCTGCATCCTCCCTGGTCTCAGAATAAGGCTCCGCAGCTCCTTACCCTGGTGCAATTTCAGCCCTTAACTCCCTCCTGTGACTCCTTTTAATGTCATTCTCTCCCTTGGTCACTACCTTTAAGCCACTCATTGAACTTGAAGGGTTTTGTACCTTAAACATTTTTCTGAAATGTTTTGCCCCTACTGGTCACCACAGCAAGGGTCCTTCATGTCATTTAAATTCCAAATGTCACCTGCTCAGAAAAAAGTCATCAGGACCTACCAATCCAGTCACCAACTCACACCCCCTCGTGTTAATTTTCCACACAGCAGTCACCTTTACGTGGTATTATTATGTGCTCACTCTTTGTTCCCTTTCCTCCCATGGATTACAAATCGAACAGAAACAGCACCTCCCTTCCATAAATCTCATCCATCGGTAGCTACTATACAAGAGTCCCAAGTGATAAAGGAGGCTCGGGGACTTTCTTCACATACTCTGATCCAGATCTAAACATTGTTTCCAAGTTGCTGAAGAAATGAATTCTGAATCACGGTCCCTCACAGTACACTGAGTGCCAGTCAAACCATAGAGCGCCAGACCTTTGGCTAGTTCATTCATTCCATAAACAAACATTTACAGAGCTGCTGCTACTCTATGCCAGGCACTGAATGGGGCAAACGATCAAAGGCGAGTTCTGACTCCCAGAACCCACAGGAAGCAGAGGGGGAGAACACTGCAACATAGGCACCTTCCTCGAGTGGGAAAAGTGAAGACTGTACACGTGTCCCTTTACGGCTTCGAGATCAGATCCACGCGGCCCAACAGACGCAGAATAACTGTTGGGACAGCGCCCAGAGGCTCAGGCGGCAAAGCTCCTGTTCTACTAGCCCAGGCAGGGCCGACCATCCGCGTTCCTCTGTGTTCGGCGCCCGCCGAAGACGCGCGGGTAGAGTTCCAGGAATATCATTGGCTGACTGGGAGCCCCACCCCCATCCCATCCCTGAGAAGCAAGGATGCCGCGGCCCGGGTCGCGCTCCAACTCTCCTCGGCGAGCCCCGCCAGCACTGCTAGACTAGCGTCGGGGCCCGTCTTCCCCCTCCCCCACGCCCAAGTCCTCAGGCCACACTCCTGACCCACGCGAGCCCTGCTCCCTGCCACCGTGCCCAGCGCATGCCCCCGGGGTAGGCGTGTCCCGGGAGCCTTGGAGTTTGCTGGCTCGGCCACCGGCGGGCGGGACCTGGCCAGGCCCCCTGCAGCGCTGCGAACCCCGGTACGCAGCTGTCCCCCAGCCCGCCACCTTCAAGCAAACAAACCCGGAGCGCCGAGCCCGCCAAGGCTGCGGGGGAACGAGCCAGGTGCGGCGCGGTGTGGGCTCACTTACTCTATGAAGAAGCTGGCGCCCTCCTCCGTGAAGCCTTCCTCCCAGCCGCGCGGCAAGTCTGCGGGAAGGCAAGAAAAGTTGGTCAAACTCCCGCAGCCGTGGCGCCCCCCACCGTGCCCCCCACCGACCCGGCGCCCACCTGAGCGGATCATGTGACCCGAGTTGACCGGTTCTCCGGTCCGCGGGTGCAGCCAGGTCGTGCAGCGGAGCTGGTCACTACGGGAGAGGTGCACCTGTTAGCGCCGCCGCCCCGCACGCCCGCCCGCGGCCCCAGCCCCAGCGCACGACCCCGCCCGGGTGTCGCCGCCCCTCACGCACTTGATGAAGAAGACGCGGCCGTCCCGGCAGACGCCATAGGACCAGTGCTCAGGTAGGGTGTCCCGCCCGACCGCAGCCGCCATGTTCGCCCAGCGCCTGAGCCCCGGGCCGGGGGAGGGGGGGAATGGGAGAAGGGGCGGGGCAAGGGGCGGGGCGAGGAGATAGGGGTGCAAGTTGTTTGACGGAGTGTGTGGGAGGGACAAGAAACGGGGAGCTGGAGTAACAAGGAGTTGGAACAAGGAGTTGGATAGGGATAGGGAGGGGAGGACAAGATCTGAGGAGGGATAGGGAGAAGGGTGCATTGGAAGGAATGAGGGGGAGAGGCGAGAAAGGAGTGGGGAGGGGCTGAGACACGAGGAACTTGGACCGATCCTACTGGGTTCCCCTGAGATGGGTGCAGCGTGGGCTCCCAGCCTTGGTGACTCGCGGTTCGAGGTCACGGCCGGTGCCTCCAAAGTTCACTAGTGGAGGGCAGGCCGGAGCGGGGCACAGGGCCCCACAGCCTTTGTCCCCGAGACTCGCGGGCGGTGGAACAGTCTACCCGCCCTCCCCCCCCACACACACACACACCCTTGCTCCAGGAAAACCAGCCGACCTGCACACCACAGCTTCTCCTCCCCTCACCCCGGAAGTGTGCTTCTTTCATAGACTAGGAACACCGAACAGGTTTCTGCTGGATTCCGGGGCAGCCTCCAAGTCTTCTGTAAAAATAAGAAAAAAAGCTTGCCTGTGATTCCAGCCCTGGAGATTGCTGAGTTGGAGGACAGACAGGACTGCTTAAGAGAGTTTCAGGACAGCACAGGTTAGACTCTGTCTCAAAAAACAAAGGGTAGGGGCTGGAGAGATGGCTCAGCAGTTAAGAGCCATCCAGAGGACTCTCTTCCAGAGGTCCTGAGTTCAATTCCCAGCAACCACTTGGTGGCTTATAACCATCTGTAGTAGGATCCGATGACCTCTCTTGGTGTGTCTGAAGAGAGCAACAGAGTACTCATATACATTAAGTAAATCTTTAAAAAAAAAAATGCCCCACACACCTGACGAGATCACAGGCCTTCAATTCTGACATTCGAAGTAAGAGATTCTGGGTCTGGATTTCCCTGCTGTCATTTTGGAAGAGCTGTCAATCGGCACTCTACCTATTTAGGTCTTGGGGAGCTCTCCTGAACCCCCAGAGTAAAGGAGACCCTTAACTCACTCGTTTGCTCCTAATTGGCATTTGTGTGTTTATTCCCTTGTGTCAGTTGGACAAGAGAAGAGACCTGGGTCTGCCCCAAACTACCAGGACCTGGGCGCCTGAACAATTCTGCCTCATCCTTTCAGCAAGTCCTCGATGGAAAAATGCAAAGCACTCAGACACCCAGTCACACTGCAAGTGGGTGGAGCCGGAGCCGGAAGCTAGGCGCTGGGCAAGGGTCAGGCCAGCCTTGCAGAGACTCAAGCTGCAGGTCTGAGGAGGCTCACCTGAGGGTGCACTGGGTGCTAGAATGAGAGATCAGGAGTAGAATGGTCCCTGAAGGGGGCACAGCTGGAGCTCTCCCGGTGTTTCTCAACCTGTAGGTCACGACCTCTTGGCATAGCCTATCAGATATTTGCATTACGATTCATAACAGTAGCAATGAAAAGATTTTGTCGTTAAGGGTCACCACAATGTGACCACTGTTCCAGAGGAACCTTTTAGGAGTGCAGGTGGACCTGTGAGAGGGGTGTGGAGTGCTAGGAGGATGATGAAGGGATCCTTCCTCTGAAGCAGTCAGTAGGGAGAGAGGAGATTAGGGATTCAGAGCCTTCACCCTCTGACCCAGTTCTTGACCAAATGAACATAGGGAAACAGCATCTCTTATTAAACACTCATTCGAAAGCAATATATTAAATGGACAAGCAAGGATATGAACACACAGTTAATAGAAATGAAACACAAGTGGCTTTTAAGTAAATGGGAAGATAACTGACCACTGCATAACATCAAGTATTCAAATGAAAATTACACTGGGATTCTATTTTGAAGATGTCAGATTAGAAAAGAAAACCATTCTTGTTCATCGTTGCTGGGACTTCAAAATGATTCTGCCTTGTGATGGTTTGTATGTGCTTGGCCCAGGGAGTGGCACTATTTGGAGGTGTGACCCTGTTTGAGTAGGTGTGTCACTGTGGGTGTGAGCTTTAATACCCTCCTCCTAGCTGCCTGAAAGCCAGCCTTCTAGCATCTTACAGATGAAGACATAGAACGCTCAGCATCTTCTGTGCCATGCCTTCGTGGACGCTGCCATGCTCCCACCTTGATGATAATGGACTGAACCTCTGAACCTGTAAGCCAGCCCCAATTAAATGTTGTCCTTTATAATACTTGCCTTGGTCATGGTGTCTGTTCACAGCAATAAAACCCTAAGATATCCCTTGAAGGCAGTTTGGCAGCAGTTGTTACACATTGCTTTGACCAGGCAACACTACCACCGAAGCTTAACCAACATGAAATATTACATCTCTTCAGTGTGGCTCAGCTGCTAAGAGTGATGCCTCAGAGGTTAAGAGCACTGGCTGTTCTTCCAGAGGACCTGAGTTCAATTCCCAGCAAACACATGCTGGTTCCTAACCATCTGCAGTGTGATCTGGTCCCCTCTTCTGGCCTGCAAGCATACATGCAGGCAGAACACAATAATATATATTATAGTTAGATAACTAGACAGATAGATAAAATCTTTAAAAAATAAAGACAGCATACTACTGTTCTAGAGAACCTGGGCTGGGTTCCCAGCAGCCAGCGTGGTGGGTCACAACCATTTGTACTCGAGGGGATCATATGCCGTCTTCTGAACTTTGAGCATACTGTACACATGTGATTCATACATATGTGGTGCACACACATACATGGAGGCAAAATGAATATACATAAAATTAAAAAAATAAAAATATTTTGCCGGGTGGTGGTGGTGCACGCCTTTAATCCCAGCATTTGGGAGACAGAGGCAGGCGGATTTCTGAGTTTGAGGCCAGTCTGGTCTACAGAGTGAGTTCCAGGACAGCCAGGGCTACACAGAGAAACCCTGTCTCGAAAAAAAAAAAAATTAATCTCATGTACTCATGAGTTGTTCCAGAGATGGTGTGTTTTTATTATAAATATGAACATTTACATATTTATAATATTTACAGCAGCTTCATCTGCATAGACAAAAACTGGCAATGTCCTCCTACGGGCGAGTGATGGAATAACAGTCCATCTCTTACACCACAGCATTTGACTTCAAATACCAACTTTTGAAAGAGCAGTCACTCTAAAGAAGTTACGCTTGACTCTATAGTATACTCAAAGTACAATAGCCAAAATTGGTTTTAAAATTTCAGGGTTGCACTTGGTGGCAAATGCCCTTAATCCTAGCAATAGAAAGGTGGATCTCTGAGTTGGGAGCCAGCCTGGTCTACATAGTGAGCTCCAGGACAGCCATAGAGACCATATCGCATACAACAGAAACAGAGGGCTAGAGACATGGCTAGGTAGCTCAGTGGTTAAGAGTACTGGCTGGTCCTCTTAAGAACCTGGGTTTGATTCCCAGCACCCACACAGCAGCTCACAGTACCACCTCTGAGGGTATTGCATGCACATGACACACAGACATGCATGCAGGCAAACACACCTCTATACATTTTTTTAATCTTAAAAGAATTATTAAGAGTTCAAATAACAAAAATAAAAAAAGCACTTTCCTTTGAGAGCAAAAAAAAAAGTTCAAATAAATAGCGACAGTATGGCTAGTGAGTGCAGAGGAGCTGATACTGTAGCAGGGATGTAAAAGGATCTAGCTACTCAGCTTGGCAGTTTAAAGACTTATTTTTGTTGTTGTTTTGTTTTGTTTTTGTTTTGTTTTTTTGAGACAGGGTTTCTCTGTATAGCCCTGGCTGTCCTGGAACTCACTCTGTAGACCAGGCTGGCCTCGAACTCAGAAATCCACCTGCCTCTGCCTCCCAAGTGCTGGGATTAAAGGTGTGCGCCACCACTGCCTGGCTTAAAGACTTATTTTTATGTGTATAGGTGTTTTGCATGTGTGTCTCTGCACTACATACATGCAGTGCCCTTAGATGTGAAAAGCTGGTGTCAGACTCCCTGGAACTGGAGTTACTGGCCACTATTAACTGCCAAATGGGTGCTAGGAATCAAATCCAGGATCTCTGGAAGAACAGTCAGTGCTCTTAACTACTGAGCCATCTCTCCAGCTTCCTAAATATAGTTTTAAAAGTTTTATTTTTAAAAAATAATAGCAATGGCCAGGTGGTGGTGGCACACACCTTTATTCCCAGCCCTCAGGAGGCAGAGGCAGGCAGACCTCTGTGAGTTTGAGGGCAGCCCGGTCTACAGAGTAGTTTCCAGGACAGCCAAAGTTATATAATTTACTGTCTTGGGGAAAAAAAAAAGACAGAAAGAAAAAGAAAATTACAGCAATGAAGGGTTGGGGGAGGTAACTCAGTGGTAGAGCACTTGCCTGACTGAAGCAGGAGAATGGAATTCAAGGCAGGCCTGGGCTACATATCAAGACCTACTCTCAAAAGTAAAACAAAAGCAAGAATAAAACAGAGTTGTATAAATCACAACTATGATGGTAAAAGTCACAGGACTTTGCAAAGAAATGATGTATGACAATTTCATTTCATATTTAAATGTATAAATAAAGGAACAGTTAGCCGGGTAGTGGTGGTGCACGCCTTTAATCCCAGCACTTGGGAGGCAGGCGGATTTCTGAGTTCGAGGCCCGCCTGGTCTATAGAGTAAGTTCCAGGACAGCCAGGGCTACACAGAGAAACCCTGTCTCGAAAAACCAAAAAAAAAAAAAAAAATAGTAAGGGGCTGGTGAGATTGTTCAACAGTTAAGAGCACTGACTGCTCTTCCAGAGGTCATGAGTTCGAATCCAAGCAACCACACGGTGGCTCACAACCATCCATAACTGGATCTGATGTCCTCTTATGGGGTGTCTGAAAACAGCTACAGTGTACTTACATATAATAAATAAATAAAAACCTTTGAGCTGGAGCGAGCAGGCCCAGAGGGAGAGGAGAAAGGGGACAGAAAAAAAAAAGCAACAGTAAAATCTGTACATATACTCTTATAATAGAATTTTTCTTCCTCTTT